CGCACACGCACACGCACACGCACACGCACACGCACACACACACCATTTCGTTCTCTCTTACTTTAACCTCCTTAGAACATAAATGTGTATTATCCATTGACTTGCACATAAATGGACGACGGATCTAATACAAAAACCACGAAAAAACATGTAAAGGAATATGAAAAAGCTAAAACGTTGAATTTAAATTGTAATGTCATCGCAGTACTGTCTAATTTTGCTTGCTTCGCTGTCAGTCGAACAAACGAAGACTAAAGCGTGAGTGACGCTCTGTATACGATTTTAACGCCCTATAAGTTCGGACACTTTTTAGCGCGGACCCGACGTCCATATAATTGTAAGTCAATGGTATTATCTAAAATTTCTCTTTTATTTTTATTTAAAATTTCACTTTTATTTTATAAGAGATACAGGTTTTCCTCGTTCAGGGACCAGCAACCACAACCAGATTATATTCTGACGTTATGTGAAGGATCTATTTTTTTTTACAAGCACTGTTTGTGGAGACAATAATAGATTTATTTTATTTATTTATTACAAGCAAAATCGCTGTAGCCAAACACACACATTCATAATTTGAAACACTATGATATAATAAAATATAATCTTGATAATGATTGGTCGTAATTTCTAATTTAAAAAGATGTAACAAATTTTGGACTGTTAATAATTAAATGTAATTAAACTTTACCCAGTTGTATATTGTTCAAAGTTCTATACCTATTATTGCAATGTATGACGTTTTGATTCTTTATTGAAATTCAATCAAATTTGCATTTAACAAAACCAAGCTAAATACAACTGTCTTTATCTACACTAGTAAAATATTTCTGTACGACATACCTAAAGCTGAGTAAATATATTACTAAAAATGTCCGGTTCACAATTTTTAAAGATTTCATTGTATCTTCTCATGATGGAGCGAAGCGGAGACATACTACCATAATTGTTTTTTCTCACTCCAATTGCAAAAGGTTTGTAATTATGCAGATTTCAAGAACAACTCAAGCTGCACGACGCGAGATCGTATTATTTAGATGAAATGAAAAATATCTATATACGGACAGTGTACCTGTCAACGTTGATTATATGGCCGTCGACCTGATACTTCTTCATCAAGTTGATAGCGCGACGTGTGCATAGAACCAGACCCGTGAGGTTCACGTTTACCGTTGTGATTATTGTCTCGTCGCTTACTGCCGGTCCGCCGAGCTCTACGATACAAAGGTGGTATTATTACTCTCATGCGAATTCCATTAACTATCGCGCTTGCGTGCTCATCACTTACACGAGTAAAAGTGGAGAAATACATTGCTTGGCAAGTTTAATAAATTCAATAAATTCAAAGATGGTGCCTCAGTTACCAACCATGCGATATAACCTTTGACAGGCATCTTTTAAGCTATCGTGTACCGTTCGTCCACAGGTTCCTTTACCATTATAAAATTGTAGACAAACACATAAAAAGTAAAATAATATAAGTAAAGAGATATTCGTCTGAAAAGCTTAACCCTTGGTATAATAAAGCCGCATTACGTTACGTACTGTTATCACATAAAAGTGATAAAAATAATATGACATATGTAGTGTCATGTGAAACAAAAGTATATGTGAAATTTTATAACTTTCCTATATAAGCATAAAAAAGTTATCGACTAATTTAATACGTAGAATCTTTAAACCTCTGCTGAAAAATTGTCATTTTGCAGATATGGCCTCTTTACAGCAAAAAGCGAAGTATATATTTATGTGAATTCAGCAGCTTATTTTTTTATGTTATTTGTGATGCGCTATATAACCTATGTATTTTTTACAATATCAAGGGACGGGACGAATAAGTCGTGCGCCTGATGGTAAGCTACACGCCTGTCCATAACAGTTGCAGTGCCACTCTGAGCTTCAAATTGCAAAGATCTGAGGGGCACTGCCACTGCGCCCGTCACCCTGAGACATAAGTTGACAAGTCCCAATGCCTGTAATTTCACCAGCACCCTTATCCTTCAAAACCGGAACACAGAAATGCTAAAATTACTGCTCAGCGGCAGAAATAGGTAAGGTGGCAGTACTTCCCTGGACGAACTCTTTCACAAGGAGCTCTACTGCTACTAAAATGTATTTACACAGGGTGGAAATTTGTAATGCCACTTGGAAGGGAAGTACGTTAAATACTGGAGATAGAAGTTTTTACTTAAAGGAAACATTCCTTTATTATTTAAAATAAATAATACAGCATTCAAAGATTTTCGAAAATTGCTAGCCACACGCAGGAATCGAACCCGCTAAAATCTTCAAAAAAATACACACTGTACTTTTATTAAATCAATCGATAGGGTCAATTATGAGGATGAAATCTCTCTTACAAACCATGAAATCTGGAGTTATAAATTCAATGGGTCAAGTTAAAGCACTTTTACTCAAAGGTCCATCAAATTACTTGTTAATTATCTCTTAAGAAATGAGTTAAATGTTTTATCCGAGGAAGAGCGAAATCGAATGATTCGGCAGCAAGATGGCGCTCCAGCCCACAACAGCAGAGTCACTACTGCCTACATTAGTAACCATTTTAATACCTGTATTGGTACAAACGGCACAATCAGATGGCCTGTGTGATCACCAGATCTCACCCCTTTAGTTTTTTTTGTGGGGATATGTTAAAAATCAAATTTACCTTAAATCCTATGCAAGTGTAAACGGGTTGAAGGCTGAGGTTCAGAATACGATTTGTAATACAATTCATCGCAACAAGTTATTAAAAGTTACTCAAAATGAATTCGTTAAAAGATTAAATTTGTGTATCCAAGAAAATGGAGCTCATTTCGAGCAACTAATTAGTTAGATTACCATTTTTTTCGTTTTATTAAAATACGTTAACATTTCATGGATTTTTTTTCTTTTAATTAACCAATTTTGTGAGAGAGATTTTATTCTTATAATTAACCCTATCGATCGATGCAATAAAAGTGCAGGGTGCATTTTTTCCAGATTAAAGCGGGTTCAATTGCTGCATGTTGCTAGAAATTTTCGAAAATCTATGAATGCAGTTTTATTTCTTTTAAATTTTATTTTAAGGGAATGTTTCCTTTAAGTAAAAATTTCTATCTCCAGTATTTAGAGTACTTTCCCTCCAGGTGGCATTACAAATTTCCACCCGGTATATAAAACTTATGTAAGTAACGGTACTTTTGTTTTCATTTATCTGGTAGCTTATAATATTCCTCTCTTATTCTACCTTGCTCGCTGTTGCCCGCTCAAGACCTTGGGTTGGCTGGAAGAGATCTCTTTTAGAGATAAGTCCACCTTTGCTCACCTTCTATTCAGTTGATATTTCTGTTGTACTTATTTGATGCAATAAAGACATATCGTCTGCTTAAAGGTAAAACCACATAAGTGACATTTTCCACAAATAATCGGTAAATTAGTACCTGTTGTAAGAAAGTTCCAATCTTTCTGTAGATAAAACTCTTATTAAGTTTATAGTTTTTTGTTATTGAGTTTCAAGTCCAGAAAGATAGTGATTTTCTTACCATATAAATTAAAGCTACATAAATTAAAAACTTTTTGTTTAAAATGTCACTTATGTGGTTATATATAGATTCCTACTTCTGAAGTGGCCAACAGATATTCGGGTAGGATTTGTACAGAAGACGTATTTATAAATAAAATAAAGGCGTTATAATACCTGTGATATTCCCCGGGGTCATGACTCCAGCATTGTTAACCATAACATGTACGCCGTCTAGATTCTCTTCCGCCCATTTGAATGCCGCCTCGATGTCTGCCAGTTTGGCCACGTCGCACTTGTGACTGTGGATTGACCCTTTTCCTTTTACTTCTGCCTTTAGTTTCTATTTTGGAAATAAAATCACGTCACAGAAATCCGGAGGATCGGCATTATACATAATATACCAGGATCGTAAACCTATTAAATGTGCAGAAGTTGGGACTATAAGCAGGGCTCCGTCACGCGCTTGAGGTTACGCGATAAGTGCCTACCGCTGAGTGTATCGCCGGCAGTGCAAGTGCAAACGTTCAGATAAGTGTTTCATTTACATTACAATCCCAAGCATTCGATTCCGCACGACTGAACACGGTGTGCAACGTTATTATCACGTATTTGAGCGTGTGCTTAGGATTCCTTTTCCTCGTAGAAACCGCCTGGTTTCATTAGTCCGATTTAATAGGCTATTATAGCGTAGGTATTTTCGATTTTGCATGAGAGTGTTGTGCTTTGTACGTAGTAACTATTAAGTAATATGATTATTTATTTATTTAATTATTTATTGTACAGGAAAAGACAAATCACATTTAGTAAATAAGCTGTACCTTTTGTTTGTATCTTCCATACAAACAAATAGTGCTGCTTATTTCTATAAGAAATTTCGTCCTGCAGACCAAAATACAGGACACAATAATTACAACAACGGGTTTACGTGCACAACAAAACAAAATTAAATTTTGTAATAAAATAATAAAAAAAGAAAATAACAAAAACGTTAAGTTACTACAGACCATATAAATACTTAGATAAATACATATTTCAAAATCTTTAAAATGGGTGCAACAGAGGATAAATAGTGTTCCTTGACTCGCACTTTAAAGATAGCTAAGGATTTACTATCATGCACAGTAATGGAAAGTGCGTAAGTTAATATGTACTATAAGCACTGACTTACAAATAAATGGACGACGGGTCTAATACAAAAACCACGAAAACATGTCCCAAGTCAACCTATTTAAACGTAGTGACATGTAAAGGAATATGAAAAAGCTAAAACGTTGAATTTAAATTGTAATGTCATCGCAGTACTGTCTATTTTGCTTGCTTCGCTGTCAGTCGAACAAACGAAGGACGTTCTGTATACGATTTTAACGCCCTATAAGTTCGGACACTTTTTAGCGCGGACCCGACGTCCATATAATTGTAAGTCAATGAGTATAAGTGACACTAACTTGTGTTTTCGAATATTTATTTGTTTTATTATTAATGGCGTATTTGCCCGCGTTTGCGCTAACTGTATCTAACTGTGAAATCTCTGTGTGGCGACATTTAATCCCAGGTATGTTCACAGGTAACATACATGTATACACTCATGCAAACGCAAGTTAATATAACCTTTATTAAATTAAACGATGACGTCAGAGGACGTCTCTCTTAACAGGGTTCCGATCAGGGTCTTGGGGAAACGCGGCATGTCTGCTGCGCCAGCGCCTTTTCACTGCCATGACTTCCAAAACTATTTAGTGTAAATAGTTATATGTAAAATTGTACGTTCCTTTTAACTTTTTCAAATTACTTACTCAAACTCATTTTAATGTTTAACTTAGAAATTGAAGTTGCATGCGACGGGGACTCGAACCGCTGACTTCACAACTGGGATACAACCATTCTCCCACTAGGGTCCAACGTTCTTGTATATATTTGTACATGCTCGTAGTAAACAATCACTGTGATTCGAACTTACATCGATAAGCTCAGTTCGTCTGGCGAGCCCCAATACATTGAGACCTGCGTTAGCAAGAGACACACAGATCGCGGCTCCAATGCCCGAACTTGCTCCCGTCACAACCGCTGTTTTGCACGCCCATCGCTCCATTTGTGCTGGAAAATGGAAACAGTGTTGACAAAATTATGTATGGTGCTTTCACTCAGCGCCTAGAAATAGCGCCTAGCCTAGTAAAACCTTGTGAGACGTGTTTTTATAATATAGTAACCCAGGTATTGGATTGGAATTTCTGACTTTAAAAGCTCGCTATCAGTGCTTTTCTTGAGGAAGATCACCAGGGCGAACAAGTCGTGCACCTGGTGGTAAGCGACACGCCTATTCATAACAGTTGCAATGCCACTCAGAGCTTTAAATCGCAAATAAGTTAGTGTCACTGCCACTACGCCCGTCATCCTAAGACATAAGTTGACAAGTCCCATGTGCCCGTAATTTCGCCAGCACCCTTACCCTTCCAAAGCGGAACGCAGTAATGCTCAAATTACTTTCCTGGACGAACTCTTTCACAAGGAGCTCTACTGCTGCGAAAAGCTACTTAACTCAGTGAGTGTTGTCTACCCCCGAATATTTTTGCAAATATTATGCGTCATTTTTTTAAACCATGTCTTATCGCACTAATATTTCCAGCGCAAACCGGACTGGAATATCTATAAACTATATTTTTTCTTCAATTGGTTAATTTTCAATGCTACAATACGATTCATAATTGTTTTTTTTTGCTCAAACGTCAAAAAGAGCCAAATTAATTAAAAAGAATAATGTGTACGCTTGTAATTATGCAGATGTGTCCTTATTACCGTTATGGCCTTATTGCGAATTATCGTTCGGTTATAGTTTAAAAGGATGACCTAAATTGCCTTTGCCTTGTATTTGAAGACAGTCTAAAATAGCGGTTACCGCTAAACTTCAACCTATTATCAGCCTATATGTGCTCTAAATTCTAGCTCCAGACTGACGCTTTCGCTTGATTCACTATCGTTATAGGTTGCTTCATGTAGTTCGTATTATTTTTATGACTTTCATACAATAAAAGCACTGTTATAGATCGCATGTGGCCTTATTACCCCTGCATATTTGCAAAAGAAACTACGTACAACATGCTTAATCACAAACCAAAATAACATTTGAGTATTGGCTCTTTTTGTTTTAATTATTCTATAAAGTATATTACAGTAGTTGAAATATAAGGAAGGAAGAAATTCATGGGCTGTTATTCCGTTTTGTTTTAATTTTCCATCAAATACATGTCACCGAGGAAGGAAGGAATTATAGATAAAGCGGCAAATTAACCGCTAAGTTGATAGTACACTTGAAGTCGGATAGTATTTGCAAAACGCAATTGCAATTAATCCATAAGCATGGAGACAATTGTGTAACCTTCTTTACAAGAAAAACAGAATCCAGTGCCTCTACCATGAGATTAGATCAGTGACAGTTATCGCTAGCGCTCGCTTAAAATGTTTATAAACAAAATGTTGTTTCTTCAACTTCAACTTCAACTTCTTGTGACCGCTAGAGTCGCTGTATAATTTGCCATACAAAATTGTGAAGTGATATACGCAGACGCTAGCGACAAATGTCACAGTAAACTGTGTGTGTAGAGCTTAAAGGATGGAAAAAGTAGAAGCATAATTCGAGCCTTTTTATGAGAATCACCTAACGATGGTTAGGTTAGGTTAGGTTAGTGTACTCGATGCAGCTAACCAAAAGAACACGAACTAACCCCCCGTTCACACGGCACTACACTACACATTTTTTCTTTGCAGTATTCGATTAACGTTTGTATGTGTGTGCATTTTTTTGCAGGAGAAACACCGTGTAAACGGTTCTATATCTAATGTATACTATTTATTCGGTTCGGAGTCATACTGCAAAAAAACGTGCAATACTATGCCTTGTGAACGGGGGGTAACCGGCTTTCACTTTGGTAGCTCACCAGTCATACATGACACGCCGGCGTCAAAGAAATAAGAAAAAACAACGACACTAAAAAGTTGAACTAAATTAACGAAAAAAAAGTTTTTCATTGCCAGCTATATGTATAACAAGCATCAAATAATATGTAAACACTGCGACACCAAAAATATTTCAGGAAACTGCTTACGGAAAAAATAATCTACCCAATATCCATAATAATATCTATTGGATATTTCTATTCCGTGTCCGTCAGTTCGCCAGCTATACACTTATTTTAACTAAGCCGTGACGTCGTGAATCCAAAATAATGTAGACATTCCATTACTTATAATAGAAATATCTATAGAGATATTTCTGTCATATAAAGTAAAGAAAAATCATGTAAAATATAACATGTCACATTTTTTGAACATGTCAGACCAACTAAAAAGACTCTTAATAAAATCCAGAAAGTCAATCAAAATTCTAACTAACCAAACATATATACAAAATCTTCGCGGCACTACATGTTGTCTCCGACAAAACGGATTGAAACCACCCAGCATTAAATGTACGGAAACCAACCTGTGCAAATAACCGTAACCTGATAGGTTCCGTCCGAGCACACTCCATGAGCACATGATGTATAAATAAGTCCTCAATAAGTTACACTAACCAATGTTGAACTGACCTTGAACAAACCCTAAACTTAGCTAATAAAACTTATCATTTTAAAATTAACGTAAATGTATACATAATGCCTATGATTTTGAAACAAAATATTATAAATTAAGAGTTACTTACCTAAAAATAGATTGAGGTTTCTTAGTGAAGTGTCAGTGTACAGTAGAAAACCGGTCCAGTCCAGACGCGAGCACGACAATGAATGTAATGTCCTTCATACAGTAAAGTAGAGGCTAAATAACAGGCTATTGTAGAGTTTAGACTGTTTAATTTGATATTTGCTAAAATATAAGCGCTGAATAAATATTGGTTTAGGAAAATTTTAAAATAACCATATTATTGATTTTTCTCTCTCTCTCTCTCTCTCTCTCTCTCACACACACACACACACACACACTTGCATTACTGTTCCAAACTTAATTATTTAGTAACTCATTCTTTATTTAAATCTTGTCTGACCAACATCCATTCTTTTGCCTATATCTAGTGTTTTTTTTTTACGGTGCTAGAGACTTGGCGACATGAAATACAGGCTCAACCTAGTTCAGGCACCGGCACAGGCAGTCTCTACATAGATTGTTACCTTTAGCATATACTAAAATAATGTATATAATTACAGTGTAAACTTTTTGAAAAAATAAAAATAACAAACCGTACAGCATGCGACTCTTGTAGTGACGAAATTCTTGAAATATGGCGCCCATTTCGCACCCTTAGTGTAATAAGGCCACATTATACCTACAAAAAGACAACGTCTAAAGAGAGAGGTTTTAAAGCGGTACCTACAAGCGAAATTAGTCGGTAATATTTTTATGCTTCAATGGAATATTTATAAAACTTTGCATCAAAACATAATTTCTTTAATGTAGTTCATATTATAATTAACCAACTTCAAAAAAGGAGGAGGTTCTCAATTCAACTATGTTTTTTTTATCTAAATTACGCGATAGCTCTTTGAGAACCGATTTTGAAGATTCTATTTTGTTTGAAAGAGGGTACCTCAGAAGTGGTCCCATTTAAATTTTGAAGAAAATATTCCACCTCTGAGGGTGGTAAACTAAGGGATGAATGACTTTTGAGGTCGGTTTTTTAGTACTATGTACTGAGATTATTTATTTCATGTAGTTCGTATTATTTTCATGACTTTCATGTGATAAAAGTACTTTTGGCGTAAGATTATATGTGGCTTTATTATAAGGGTGGTTTTTAGAAAACTTAGGGAAAACTACACCTGTAGAACTATTGTTCTACAGTGAGACAAGTTGAACAGACATTATTATGTCTGTTCAACTTGTAGACATCGGATCATTTCTGTATTTCATTAATATGAAATGTTTATAGAACCATTGGGCATTGTAGCAATTAACAACGACATCCGGCCATCGTTTGCGATCTTTAATTGGATAAATGATGCCCATTCATTTGGCAATATGGTAATCAGTCACAAAGCGTTGCTATAGTAAGTCTAAGTAAGTCTACGTTTTGTTTTTATTTGCAATAGCAAATATGTGATGATTGTGTCACCAACACCGTTAACGACTAATTACTAAAAAACACTGAGAAGAGAAAAGAAGAAGAGAACTAAATAAAAACTGGTTTTGCTAGTTTATACAGTATCTAACTGGGTGACGAAATACTTTCATAGATTTCTCATAGATGGCGCTACGGCTAATAATGTCGTTGAAAACCAAATACAACGATCTAGCAACAAGCACATAGAAAAATTGGCGAGGTCCGCTGGTTCGTTCCGTGGCTTAATTGACATAGCGTTTGGCACGGTTTGCTTGAAGACGTTAGTTCGAATCCGGCCGGATGAAGGGAATTTTTCTAAGTATTCGATCTTTGTACTAATAATTATAATTTGTAAGTCAATGAAACTAGTGGAGTAATTTCACAAAACACAATTGAAAATCAATTCAATAAAAATTTAACTAAAAAAAAATCATAATTTGAAAGAATAGTTGTGTATATACAATTCAAGCCAATAAAACGTTTGATACAAAAAAGAATTGCTGCGTATGTACATAACACGTTGTATTGAATGATACAAAGTAGGTACTCTAAGGGTACATGAGAGTGATTTAAGAGAACGTACTCTCGTTTTGAGAATTTTGATGTGAGTGACGACGAATCGAACCCAAGGAAGAATAGTGGAGAACACGGAATAAACAAAGAAATATTTATATGTGGTCGGTGGTGGAAAACGATCCAAAATTTAAAAAATAAGTGGCCAGCCCCCGTAGCATGGATACGCATGATAGTCGCGACGCGCGCGATAAAATTAAAAAATAAGCGCGCGCTATTGGCTATCTAAATTAGATCTGATTGAGACAGACAGTAGCGCGCGTTAATTTCAATTTTATGGCGCGCTTCGCGACAATCATGCGTAGCCATGCTACGGAAGCTGGAACCAGTAAAATGAGTGATAAAAAGGTGGGATAACGATAGAGGAGGTCAGCATCTCAGCATCGTAACACTATCTATGATAATTATATGTTACTGGCAAATGTAACCCGATATTCTTTACAATACATAGTGCTAGACTTTATACAGTGCTTTTTTAATTAAAGAAAAACTACAAGAGATACCTACAGGAATACTGTCTTAGGAACTATTAAGTCTTTTTTCGTGAAAACAATTTCAGCATAGTAAATTTTTTGGTCAAGCGTGAGTTGTCCATAAAAATGAATAAAATTGATTAATTTTCTTTAATGCTAATCGACTCAGTTTCATATAAGAATCATTTTATTGTATTGGAAGAAAAAATCGGGACAGCGAAAGTTGGTCAAATGTATTAAATTCTTTTTTCATGACAATTTTTTTATTGTTTGTAGACTCAGTTTCAAAAGGATGGATTCATTGTATGGATACAAAAAAAGGCTTAATGGTTCAGATAGCTCTCCCGTATCTCCTACTGTCCCAGTTTAAAAAAAACACACTGTACAGTGCTAAATTTGAACGCGATGTTTACATTGTAATTTACACTGAACGTTTATGTAATCATAGGAATAATATTGTCTGAGTCTAAATCGCTTCACATTATAATGTATACTTTGTTGTATGCGGAGCCTTAGGAGGATATACAATCTAGATTATACAAAATGCCTAAATCTAGCATTAGACTTTTGTATGGGTAAAATTAAGGCATTTCTATTCATCTATTGTATAACATTAAATGTAACTGCTGTTCTATAGGTCGCTTATACCTATTTCTTTACTAATGTTGTAATGTTGTGCTATTTCTATACAAAAGAAATAAAAACGGTCACAGAATGGTGCCCTGTGTAACATTGTCCTGTGAAGTATTTTTTTTTTAATATACGGAAACTAGTACACTAATTTATATACGCGCAGAACCTATATTCACTTACGCATATGACAGAATGTTTCTTCACACTTCCTTATTTAATTTCTATATATATGTATGTACTTTCCTTCGCAATTAACATATTTAATTACTTGTCTCCTCATTATTCTATGACTATCACGTCACGAAGCGTTTCGTTTCCTCGAACGGCTGTGGAGTGGAATTCCCTACCTGCAAACTTGTTCCCTGAACGGTAACTTGGGCCAAGCGAGAGTTTATAGGCATTATTTGGGTGTGCATGCTCCATCGTCGACCTCACCCAGGTGAGATAGAGGGTACTTATCGATACCTCCAAAATGAACACTACGTTAACCCAATTTTTTGGTAATCTGTTTATATTTTGTTTTTTTATTTCTTAATTTTTTTCACACTACTGTGGAGCATAATTATTAGTAAATAAAAAAAGGTTGTTTACATTAGAAACAGAAAATTGGAGGTATCGTTAGTACCTACCTATATCATAAAAAATCTTGGTTATTCGAAAAGTAATAAAATTAAACCTCTTCCATTTGTTGCACCTCTTCTTGTATTTATCACACTACCTATCCATCCCCACTTATGGTGTATTAGGTGGGTTATGGTAGAAGCCGTATTCCATGACCGAGTCCAAACGTATCATCACTCGTAAAGTAAAATTAGATACGTTTCGCTCGACTAATCGCGACACGTTTAACGAGAGTGAAAAGTCAGTTATATCACGCAACTTTAAAACATGATAAGTAGAACGTTGGTACTAATATTAATAGCAATAGAACTCCTTGTGAATGAGCTCATCATAGTGGAAAAATATTATTTGCACCGATGAATGATATATTTTTTAATCTATTAAGTACAGGCAAGAGCACATCAAGCTTGACATTTTGTACTTTAGACAGTTCTTATCGTAAGCGGCATAGAGTTGGATTTAAGTCTTAAGTGTCAAGCTTGACGTGCTCTTGACTGTACTCCAACAAAGTTAGTTCCGCTTAAAGATTACCAAGTTTAGAATTAAGTGCCAACACCTAAAAGTGATAAATCAGTTGTTTGTACTATACAGATGGCACGTACGTTACCGAGACAGCTCACTTTTTAACCGACTTCAAAAAAAGGAGGTTCTCAATTTGACTGTATGTTTTTTTTTGTATCTATATTACGCAATAATTTTGTAAACCGATTTTGATGATTCTTGTTTATTTATTGTATAGGAAAGCCAACATAATGCATATACAACAATAGCAAATGTACAATACTTTAAAAAGTTTAAAGGTAGATATATACTTATTGGCTAACACAGCAAGCTATACACATTCAAGGATATATGAAAATTATTTATTTATATATTATATATTTCCTCTTTATAATTATAATCCCTACTTTCTTTATAGGTAAAAAGAAAAAAGTAAAAACAATATACTCCCTACATTAGAATGAGAATATAAATAATTGCTGGAAAGAAGATACTTCAGGAGTAGTCCCATTTAAATTTAATTAAAATTTGAAGAAAATAATTCACCTCTAAGGGTGGCAAATTAGGGGATGAATGACTTTTGAGGTCGGTTTCTTAGTACTCTGTACTGAAATTATTTGTCCTATTGTACCCTAAAGATGAAGTGACAAGACGAATCGGTGCAATAAGTATTTCGCTAACTATGCTACCGTCAAACAGTAATATGAGCTTTACTGTGTTACTGTTTTAAAGGGTAAGGGAGCTGGTAAAATTACAGGTACATGGGACTTGTCAACGTGTGTCTCAAGATGACGGGTGCCAGTGCCCCTCAGATTTTTGCGATTTAAAAATTATTTACGAAGCTGCACCTGTTATGGACAGGCGTGTAGCTTATCA